GGTGAAGTGGTTTTCCCATCTGTGTTTAAACAACTAATTCACGCTAGCAAGTCTGGGAGCATTTGTTCTCTGGGCTAAACCAGCTATCACCAAGGATTAGTACTGCTCCACTTGTTACCATCATATCTCATAAAACATTATTCCCCTCCAGGTGATGGAGTCACTGTCCTCCTAGTTCCCAAACTGTTCCAAGTGCTCTTAGGCATCACAGCAAACTCACAAGAGTGGCTCAGGACCCATTAAAGTTCTATGGGGAAAAAAAAAGTTCTATGGGAAACATAATGATATCTGTCAGACAGAGCTTGACAGAGTTCACAGTTCCAGTATTTGATCACTGCAGTCCTTTCAGTAAAGTCACATCTTTGTAAACCCATGTTTTCAGAAGTTGCTCTAATGGAAAGCAAGCTCTACTTGAAAATCAGTGTGGAACAGAAAATGAAGGTGACAGCATCCAGTTGGATTCTAAGGTTCGAGAAGTTATGCATTGCCCAACTCATTCTACCTGAGAATTCTAACTTCTTGAATTATGAAAAGTCTCAGTGATACTCAGTATATGCTTTGGATGGGGTCTTGCATAGAATAAAGGCAGTGAAAGGACTTTGTGAAGTTAAAATGCTGTACAAATACCAGTTGTTTTTTTTTTTAAGATTTTATTTATTTTTTGACAGAGAGAGAGACAGCGAGAGAGGGAACACAAGCAGGGGGAGTGGGAGAGGGAGAAGCAGATTCCCCACTGAGCAGGGAGCTCGATGCAGGGCTCCATCCCAGGACCCTGGGATCATGACCTGAGCTGAAGGCAGACACTTAACAACTGAGCCCCCCAGGCGCCCCTGAGCAACTTCATTAATATACTCTTGTGATTTTCTTTTAGTGAAGCTTTGGTCTTGAAAGTTTATTTAACCGAATTGAATAGATCCCTTAGTAAGCTTCCTTCATCACATTGTTTCCAAAGAGTGCATGGAAGGGTGTGATTTGACATTCACCTCCACGTGTTTCCTCTGCCTTTCCTTATGTAATGCTCATCCTGAGAAGCAAGATGGCTGGAGGCCAACAACCCAACAATCATTATGCTTACTACTTCACATTTATATATTAAGTTTTACAGTATATTATGGTTTGAATGATTCACTATGTAGATAGGGCTTTAATATTTGAGAGTTAATAGTACATTAATATGTAATAGTAACCATAATAAAACATTTTGCTCTTATGATGCAGTTGTCTTTGGCAATCAAAGGAAGCAGGGTATACTAACCCATCTATTAGAATTTGAAGCTTAATGACAAAATGAAAATCCTAGGTCATATATTATCATAGACAGTGAGTATTGAAAGGTATTTTTTTTTTAAAGATTTTATTTATTTATTTGACAGAGAGAGAGAGAGAGCGAGAGTAGGAACAAAAGCAAGGGCAGAGGGAGAGGGAGAAGCAGGCTTCCTGCCAAGCAGGGAGCCCGATATGGGGCTCGATCCCAGGACCTGAGCCAAAGGTAGACGCTCAACAACTGAGCCACCCAGGCACCCCGAAAGGTATTTTAAAGGTAGTGCGCTTCAGCCTCCTGTTCTATAAATGAGAAAAGGAAATCTCAGAGGCTCGGTGAAAGGAAACCCCAGAATGAACTGCCCATATTGAGGCATGACTTCTTGTTCTCACTTGGCTGACAACCCAGTCCTTCCAGAAGAGATAGTGAATAGCTGTTCTTCCCTCTCAGCACTGCACACAGGTCCCATGAACAGGTGTACTTTCAGAGTTACATTGTCAGAGAAAGGAAACTACCTGTGTATCATTTTTATAGGGACTCTTCTATGGGGTGACTAGGAGCCCACCTGAGGCTAGCTAAAGTGCCCCTCCCCAGAAGAAAAAGGAAGTGTTCAGAGACTTAATGGTTCTTGAACAGTCTATATCTATGGATGGGTTTTTAGGCATGATGGTTTTTGTGTGTCTGAATCTAGGGATTCAAACTCTGTCATTATGACTTAGTCTCTTTATTTCTCTTAGCCTAGCTTTTCTTTGGGTTAGCTTCAGTCTCAGATAAGCTCTTTCCCAGGACTTTGGGGGGAAAAATACAAAACGAATGGTTCTAATTAGTGGTGAGGGAGAGAGAGGGCATGTTAGAGTAGAATCTTTTCTCTGGAATTCTTCAAAACTGGCAGTCATCAAATAGGATCTTGTTTACAGATGATAAAGGAACAGCATGAGCTTTTGTGGCCCCATACAATGCTGTCGTGCTTGGTAGGCATTAGAATTTCAGAGTGTTCGTGATTTTTTGGGGCAGGCTTTCGCTCCCACAGTGGTATCTGTGCAGGAGTAGGACTTGGAGAATATCTGCAGCTAGAGAATAACTGGGAAGTTATGATAACTGCTAACCAGATAAACTTTTAGCAAAAAGAATCCCAAAACTTGGTCAGGAGGCCAGTGGTTTAACATGGTTGAGTGTGCAACGGAGCAAGTAAGATGCACAGGTTCAAGGGGCTGGGGGAAGCCGACCCTGGGTACATAAGGCTCAGCAGTGTGGGAGCAGAGCACACACAGAGCAGAGAAGCTGATTTTGGAGAGGACACAAGAAGTGGCAGCAGTAGGTCAGAGTCTTAAGAGGACAGTCGGTCATTCTCGAAGTTGGTGCTAAAGCCTAAGAATGCTTGGTAGGTTTCTATTTTGACGCTTTGAGGTCATGTTCATTGGTTTATTTCTGTTGTTCTGTCTGCTTGGGAAGCTCTTCCTGCAGATTTCTACAAGTCTCACATCTTCACTCCTTTTCAGTGGGGATCCTTCAGGGTGGAATTCTGTCAGTTTCTGAGGATGCCTGTTCCAAAAGTGCATTCTAAACCTGTGGTTACCACAGCTGTTTGAAAACCTACTGGGGCTCACTTCTGAGACAGACCTGAGCTACATCTCCATTGCTCACCTGATGTCCACTGCCCTCTGCCTGGGACCCATAATGGTGTTTGGATCTCTAAAAAGTAGTGTCTTATTCTCTTTGGTATGCATTGCACCTTGAGACAAGTCATCCTTCATACTTCATTTTCTGGGGCCTGCGTGGACTAGAGTCTGCTTATAGGTCAGAAGCAGAGAGAAGTGGTGGATAATTAGCAGTCCCTGATAAGAAAGGTAGGCGAGGGTAGGCTGATTCCAGGGGAAAAGGTATTAGGTTCCATTGGAGTCTGTTCACCATGTCCCATGCCAGTGAAGCCTTCCCTCCCTGTCCATCCTATTTAAAAGGGTAACTCTCTCCCTCCAAAGGTCTTGGCTATTAGCCTTCCCTGCTCCCTTTTCTGCATAGCACCTATCACCACCTGTCACACTATAATATTCACTTATATATTTTCTTCCACCTAGAATGTAAGTTCCTTGAAGCCTAGAACTGTATTCTGTTAATTCCCTAGCATCTCTTCTGTCTAGAAGAGTGCCTGTGTATAGTAGATTGTCAGGATTGCCAGTTCCTATTTGTGGAATGATTGATTGATTCATCCATTCTTTCATGTATTTATTCACATTCACTCATTCCCCAGACATTGATTGAGAACAGTACTCAAAAATAATGGCAAGTGTTTGCAACGATGTGGTTGGAGCTAGAGAGTATAATGCTAAGCAAAATAAGTCAGTCAGAGAAAGACAAATACCGTATGATTTCACCCCTGTGTGGAACTTAAGAAACAAAACAAATGGAAAGACAAAGGAGGTGCGGGGAAAGAGAGAGGAGAAAAACAAACCAAGAAACAGACTTTTGACTCTGGAGAACATGCTGATGGCTACAGAGGGAAGGTGGGTGGGGGATGGGGGAAACAGGTGATGGGGATGAAGGAGGGCACCTGTGATGAGCACCAGTGATGTATGGAAGTGCCTGAATCACTATATTGTACATCTGACACTAATGTAGCCCTGTATGTTAACTGTACTGGAATTTTGACAAAAGAGTAACGGCAAGTAATAAATCTTCAGGAGCGAAAGATATCTGAATGGTCAACAAAGAGAAAGGTGGCTTGAGACAGTGTTGTAGGCAGACAGTAAGGGCATTTTGTAGAATGTGGGAGGCTGTCCTGTGTGGAGTCTGTTATTATAAGTACAGTGGGAAGCCTCAAGTATATTTTAAGCCAGGGAATGACAGAATTGTATTTTGTTTATAAAATTTACCATGGCTATTGTTTGGAGAATAGGCTTAGGAAGGGAAGCTTGGTGGAAGGCAGCTTTTCAGTACTTTTAGAGAAGACACAGTGCTGGCTTGTGCCGGAAGTAGCTACGATTTAGCTTCCGCCTTTTTCCCAAACCCCATCCACCTGCTGTTGTCCCTGCTACTACAGTGAAGCCCAGAGCCTTGGACTTAGCAGTGGGGCAGCTGGTAGGGCCGTGACAGCAACTGTGAGAGCCACTGCCTCGTGTCTAGGGAAGAGCTGAGATCTGCCTAGGGTGGTGGCTCCACTGGTGAGGATGATGGAGAGGAATAAACTCTGCTTCCCCCAGTGCAGTGCATATCAGTTCACTTTTCTAGCAAACTCTTGTACTACTTTTACTGATTATATATAAAACTTCAGAAATAAAGAGATAATTTGTAAAATTTGATATTTTAATATAAGTAAGTACACATGGAATCTATAATTCTAAGTCCTAGCAATTTTAATTTTCAATCTATTTTTATTTTTTTTTTTAAAGATTTTATTTATTTATTTGACAGAGAGAGACACAGCGAGAGAGGGAACAAAAGCAGGGGGAGAAGCAGGCTTCCCGCCGAGCAGGGAGCCTGATGTGGGGCTCGATCCCAGAACCCTGGAATCATGACCTGAGCCGAAGGCAGACGCTTAATGGCTGAGCCACCCAGGCGCCCCTCAATCTATCTTTATAGTAGATTATAATATTTAAACAATGCTCTTTAAAAGCATAATGTGTAAAAGCATGAAAGAAGGTATATAAAGATATGTATGTTAATAGTATGTTTTATAAACTAAGGGATTTTAATTTTATTTAATTATTTTCTTTCTTCCTTCTTTCTTTCTTTTTATTAAAAGTACCAAGACACGAATATGCAGGGCGTTGTGTATGAACTAAACAGCTACATAGAACAACGGTTGGATACAGGAGGAGACAACCAGCTACTCCTCTATGAATTGAGTAGCATCATTAAAATAGGTAAGAAATGTTCTGTATTCCTCCTGGTAGAAAATTTGAACTGAAGTTTCTTTTATTCCATTGCAGAAAATGGAGAAAGTTAATATACTTACTACAAGGCAAGTGCAAGTCATTTATTTACTTCTATTCTTGGGCTAAATATGAAATGAAAATATTTTATTATGAAACTACCAGAACGAGTCAAACCTAAAAGTTCCTAAATTATCTAATCCCAAAAAAGTATCTGCCAGTTATAAATGGAATGTACTATGCTTTCTAAATAAAACCTAGTTTTCTTTGGAAAGTATAGTTTTATTGAATTAAATCACATCTTTATGAAGGAAATCATTAACTTTTAAGGAACAAAAACCATTTTAAATTTATTTAGGGAGATGACAGATTTATATACTGTTATTGCCATTTTACTGATGAGGAAGCTGTGGTAAAAACAGGCCGAATATTTTACCCACAGCCACATGAGTAAAAAAGGAGGGAAGCAGGGGTCTACATTCAGGCAGTCCTCTGATAATAGTATGTGTTATGTGCTATGATGATTGCCTTCAGATGGCCCTGAAGCGGTTTTAGGAAAGTTTACATCATATTCTCTTCAGTGATGATATGTGGAGATATATATATATATATATATTTATACATCATCTTTTTTGGTTGATGCTAATATTGATTATTCATTATTATGAATATCACATCTGGTATTTTTCATACTTTAAAAATTAAATACAGTTCTTAAAAAATATTTCCAATAATTGTGATGCTTAAAGTTTCACAAAGATATTATTACATAGTGCATCGACTGCTATATGCATTTGAGGATGTCACATCTTGAAAATGCTCTAATTATGTGATTGAGTAAAGTCATAAATTAATCTGCTTAGTTGACTGCATGACCATTAATTATGTTAACAGTCCTTTCACAAAGACTCCTATCTGAGGTCTCACCTTAAAGAGTTCATACATGGTCTATTCTTCCATTGAGATTAGTTTCTTCCCTTTTTATTACTTTGGCAGCCACAAAAGCTGATGGATTTGCACTGTATTTCCTTGGAGAGTGCAATAATGTAAGTATCTAAATTTAGATTTTGGTGCTCTAGATAAGAAAATGTCATAAGCTTTTTTAAAAAAATACACTGGGTTACAAACAATTTAACAGATACATGGATATTAGGTACTTGAAACTCATTTTGTGTTCCGTTTCCATATACAGTTATTGCCAGCTGAAAAGTTTAGCAGTGTGGCAACATTTGGGCATAAAATCTTATAATTTATTGTTTTAGTTTTGGTTTATGGTATCCTATCTTAGGAATGGCATTTCTAGACTTACTGTTTTGAACAGAAGCTGTTTCAGCACTGTGGGCTGGGGCATCATGGACAGTGTATGCCCTTGCAACACACAGACTTCAGTAGAGTAAAATGAGAACAAAAGTTTAGCATTTTTTATGTGATTTTTTTAGATTTCTTTAAGGCAACTCCAGCAGTGCTTGGACGGAGTTACTAAGTGGGGGTCCCCGAGCTGTGGTGGCCGTCACTCATACTATCAATGGCACGAGGCTTCTCGGGTGTACCTGCTCCAGTCTTCTGTGCAATAGGTGTTTCTGGTTTAACTTACTCAAAGCACAGCCCGCCGTCAATGCAGTGTGTAGAAAGAACTTCCAAAAGTACTTCAAGATGTTCAGTTACTGGCATTTAATTTTTGTTATGATATTAAAACCACATACATAATATTTTAGAATAATATTCTGAGCCAATAAGAATTATATTTGTAGTTAAAATATATAGAGATCATTTATAAATATATTTGGAAAATTTTTAGTATGTATTTCTTATGCGTTAGGCATTGTTATTTGATATTTGGAATGTATTTTTTTTCAATGTAATACTTGTATTCATGAGTAATCAAAATGTGTGCTACTTATATTATATAAAATGTTAATAGGAATAGAGATGCAAGTATTCTGAGGTGTTTGATAGGACTCCTGAATAATACAGTAGTGCAAAGGATGAACAGTAGCTGCACAAAAATATTTCTTGGCTGATTTACTGAACCCGTAATTGGTCCTCTTCGTTCCTGCAGCCCTTCCTTTTCCCCTTGCACAGTAAAAATTTATGTTATAGGATTCGAAGCTCTTTAGGGCAAAAGGACCTTTTCTTAATCTTCTCATTCACCCGGCAGCTCTCCTAGTGCCTTCCACGTACAGAACAAGAGTGTTTATTAAATTGAATTATTCAGATATCACTACTACTACTAAACACTTTAAATAATATTTTAGGCTAATGGCTAAGCTACTAAAATAACAAATAGATCTCATTCTTTCCTGTTCATTCTAAAAATTTATTTCTAAAATTTTGCCTTTTAGGAGACTATTACATAATTTGCAATTGTATTTAAAATGTACTGGTGTGTATGTTGGCTCGGGGTGATCATGAGAGTGCACATCTCCTCCTTATGACGCCCCTGGGATCTGCAGAGAACTCACAGGGCTTGCTTGGTCTTGGCAGCTGAGTATATACCACGTGGCCCTTTCCCTTCAATCCCAGCTGTTTGTGACCCAAACTCGGACCAATCCAATTCTCTGCTGAAGCCTGGATCCTGGACTCAGCATTTCTAGCTGTTTACAGGAAAAGGAGTGAACCCTGGAACTAAGACAGCCCCATGGGATGACCCTCTTCTGCTCTGTGTAAAAGAGAATGGGGGGAAGTGGTTTGCGGAGGTCATGAAGGGCAAGCAACAAGAGGCCAGGGTCTGCAGGGTCTGCGAGCCTCAGGAAGTGCTTGACTTTTAGAGCCTGGATTTAGATTCCCAAATCCCATATTCTAGGTCATTTGGCTGTTTTGTTTTTTGTTTTTTTGTTTGTTTGTTTGTTTTTTGCTTTATTTTTGCAAGCTTGTTTATACGTTGACCTTCGTGAAGTAGGTTCCTGGAATATGTGATTTAGAAAAAGCTTTTGTGTCCACAATATCTAAAGTGTATTCTATGTATATCAGTTCTAATTCTTTCACTTTTGTAAGTTAATTGAGGGGATGACACTACATCCCTGCCAGGCTTTAGTCGGCTCTTTATTCTTTATACTCCTGACGTCAGTTGATTTCACTCTGCCTGTCTGTCTCTGGGGTCACTCTTCCTTGGTCTTGCCTTGCTCAACAGCATTGTCCCTAAGAACAGCAGAGTACCTCGCAAAAATTGTAGCCTCTTCTGACCTTCCGAAGTCCATCTCACTCTCTTGTGTGTTAGTATCATATGCTTCTCCAGAGAATTTAGCTGAATCTGTAATTATGTATTTATCTGTGATTTGTGTGATTGTTTATCTGGCTTTCTCACTAGAATGTAGTCTCCATGAAGGCAGAGACCTTGTCTTGCTGGGAGGATACTTTTAGGGATAATTACTGCATTTTGTTCACCACATTTTTTCTTATATGTGTTCCGCACAGGCAGCTATGCCTTTAATATTTCCCTGCCCTGGGGATTTCTGTGGGTAGGAAGAAGACCTTGCCAAAAGTCTTAAGTTCACTGAAGTGTGTATTTCTTTCTTTCTTTCTTTCTTTCTTTCTTTCTTTCTTTCTTTCTTTCTTTCTTTCTTTCTTTCTCTTTCTTTCTTTCTTTTCTTTCTTTTTCTTTTCTTTTCTTTTCTTCCTTCCTTCCTTCCTTTCTTCCTTCCTCTCCTTTCCTTTCCTTTTTCCTTTCCTTTTTCCTTTCCTTTCCTTCCCTCCTTCCCTCCCTCCCTTCCTCTCTCTCTTTCTTTTTTTACATACATTATTCACTTTCCACTTTGGAGTTCTTTCCATGTCAAAACAGGTAGGTCTTTAAAAAACTATGAATTTAAAAATATATCTTGACTGGGGCGCCTGGGTGGCTCAGTTGGTTGAGCGGCTGCCTTCGGCTCAGGTCATGATCCCGGAGTCCCAGGATCGAGTCCCGCATCGGGCTCCCCGCTCAGTGGGGAGTCTGCTTCTCCCTCTGACCTTATCCCCTCTCCTGCTCTCTCTCACTCTAATAAATATGTAAAATCTTAAATATATATATATATATATATCTTGACTGTTTTAATTACAAAAGTAGCACATGCTCTTTACAGAAAATTCAAACATTACAGAACTAGGACCTAGAAAGTAAAAGAAATTCTGTAACTCGACACTTTAGAAACGCCTCTAAACATGTTTAATGGCTACGTGGTATTTCACAATATGGACAATATTACCATTTAGTTAGAGAAACTTCCATTTTTTTTCTAACCCTTTGAGAGGACTTCAGAATCCCAGAAGAGCGGCTTGAGCCCGGGTTTCTGCACCCCTGTCACTGGCTACTCCGCACGTGAGCATCTCCCATGGCCACAGAACAGAGACCAAAGCCGAGACTCAGGCCTCACTGACCCACTGACACGAAGCAGTGGACTTTATTTGAATTTCACTTTTCCTCACAGTGCCCCTTTTTCTGTCCCAGGATCCTACCCAGGACCCCATACTGCATGTGGCGGTCACATCTCTCTAACCTCCTCTGTCTGTGATGGAGCCTCCACCTTCCATGGTCCTTCATGACTTCCAGACTTCGGAAGGGTCCTGGGGGGCTCTGGAAAGCTCCATTGGCCATCTAGCTCTATCCCATTCCATGCCGATGGGAGCTGTTTGTATGCAGGACCTCCTAGGACCTGACATCAGCCTGTCTTGCCAGCCTGCCCCTAGCAGCCTCCTCCTCCTTAGCGTGCAGTCTTGTGACAATAATGGCCAGCACATGCGCACAAAGCACTTTGCTCTGGGCCTGTTTCCAAA